GGTGAATCAGATGGAAAAAAAGGGATGTCTTTTCAGTGCTACTTCAAAAGCCAAAATCATGCTGTCCTGTGTATTTGGGGTGAAGATCTGAGTAGTGAAAGAAGTATCTTTGATGTCAAAACAGTAGGAATTTGTCCTTGCAAATGTGAATGAGTCATCTGCTAAATCTGCTCTTAGTGGACATGTCCACACACAACTACAATCAACCCTGGATTATGAGGAGCTTATCTGAGTTGCCATGTAAAGCTATCTGCTGTTTTCTCTGCTGGGGTGAATTTCTGAAAAGCAAATTGTCTTGTGGGTTCAGTCACTGTGTTGATTCTGAAAGCCTTTCTAGTGTATTAATATTAAACAAGTTAATAAGCAAACTGGAGTGGGTATCAGTCCGTATTGTCACTTTTATTGTTCATCCCCTATTTGGAGACCAGTTTGAGTATATTTCAGTTTTTATTTCTCATTACAGAAATGGTTAGATTTATTAAAAGAGAACAGCAATGACTTCACTAGTTTCTAACTATAATCTTGTCTAATCCCAGCTGCAGCCCCATAGCTCAGGATTGCAGCAGGAAAGAAAATGTTGAACTCCTAAATTAATGTTCTTCATCAGGATAAAGTGCTGAGAAAAGGAAGTGTTCCTTTTGTTGGCTTTAGGCATGAATCCAGTCAAACACATCATTGTTTGGTACCTTGGATGACATTGCAGTGAAGAGGTTTATGTGGGGGAGGAACGTCTCTGGCACTGGTGCTAATCTAAAGAAGGGGATGTGTTAAGTAGCACCAGGTGTACAGAGCACCAGAGGCAGCAGAGGAGACTGTGCTGCTGTGAATTTGTCCTAGTGTTTGCACATACTCTTTTGAATACAGCACCTCATGGAAAAAAGTACCAGAAAAATAAGGAAGAATACTGGCAGATGGAGGTGAACAGACTGGCATTCCACATAAAGAAGGGGAGTAATGTGGCTGTAGAAAAGTGCAGAGTTAGGATGAACAAACACGTTTAGACTCCTGTCATCAGCCACATCATTAACTTTAGAGAAAGACCAGTCCTGTACCAATACACTTGTACTGAGTATCCATGAGACAACAGCCTCTCAGTCTCTTCTGTTTGAAAGCTGATCATCTTGTTAGGAAAAAGTTCTAAAACACATTGAATAGCGCGGGCAACCTACATACAGGCTTCCACCTGGTTCAAATGAAAGAGAAACAGAAACAGAAGCAAAATAAAAAAGAACTGGATGTCATACCTTGTACTAAATACCATGTGCTGTTCAGAGTCAGGAGGACAAACTTTCTGCAGGCTGTCAAGATTTGGCTGGATTGATGTGGTGCTTGCTACTCACCAGCCTGCTAAGAGGATGTTTTTAAAACAGTAAGAGAGCAGCCTGTTAGAGCAAAAGTAATTCCAGCTTAATGGCCTGATACTCTGTTCTCCCAGGTTGTTATCAAACCACTACTGAGAAAATTGTCTGCTGACTTCTGGTGTCTTGTTGGTGATTGTAAGAGAAAATTAAAAAGAAAGTGGTAGCTTTATGCCCTGATCAGTAACCAGTTTCTTTGTACATCTAAGCAAGACTCTAGTACTGAAAGCATGGTAATTTCTGTTCTCTGATGGGTATGAAAGTGTTTTTGAAGTGAGTGGTTCTTAATGGCAAATGTAGTGGAACTTATGCAGAAACATAGACAGGAACAGTTCAACCTACTTGGGGTCTGCATAGTTACTTCCTAGCTGTTTTTTTTGTCATGATGATGATGTCCTAAAAGAGATGTGATTTCAGGATGTGATTAGATTTGTGTTGTTTTTACTGTGTGACTGGTCTGTTCTCAAAAGAACTTTCTTTAAAAACTGAGAAGTGGTTACCTGTCTGTGAGTACTTGGAGAGAGCTGGAAGTTACTTAGCCTGGAAGCAGGAAATTGCAGAGATTTCATGTCCACTGTGGTGTTGCAGGGAGGTTTCAGAGGCTGAAATTACCAGAAGAAGCATTCAGTGGTTTATTGTCAGTGCTGTGTCAGTACTGAAGTAGCTGTGTTCTATTTATAGTCTTAAATCAGCTTTTGAAGACCACAGAGAGATGTAGAAACGAAACTAAAAAGGGCCAATCATCTATGATACTGTGAGTGGGGGGAGTGATTACTTCTCCTCTGAATAATTTAAATATGTTCTTCTGATGTCTTTAGGTGTTATGGCTGAGCAAATCAATTCTGTGTTCACAACTTGTGTTGCAGGCTGATTGAAAAATCTAGCTATAGACTTGGGAGAAAAAAAAACCAAACACCACCCACACAAAACAAATAAACAAAAACACCAAAAAAAACCCAAAACACAACCAAACCAACCAACAAAAACCCCTCACATTAAAAAGGTATTTGAATCTTGAACTGTTCCTGCTGTGTTGCAGAGGAGTAAATGAATGGAAGTGCTGGTTTAGCAGGTGGTTGAAGGCACAAAATGCCACTCTAGATTGTGCCAGCAGAAGGTGTATTTGCTTTGGGTGAAGTTCATGTGCTGTGACTGAAGCTAGAAAGCCTGAGCCTCCTCTTTTCTCTGGCAGATCAGGCATCAGTCAGTGGGAACAAGAGGAACCAAAACACTGGGTCATAATATCCCTGAATTTTAAAATTTGGGCCAAACTCCAATCCTCATGTTTGCTTCTATAATGAGCTGGACAAAGAGCCTACCTTCAAACACCTTAAGCAATGGCTGAAACCTAACTTAATCTGTTGGGCTTACATCTTTGACATCTGAGATGTTTCTGTTGGGACACAGCAGTGACACGTGGCAATTTAACTACACCTGCACTGAACACTCACCCATTTGATCTACTCCATGCCTCCTCCTAAGACTGAGTGCCAGTGTAGTGACTACTTGACTAAACCTTTGGCACTTATTTGCCATCAGGGTGACTGCAATTTCACATTTCTACTCCACTTCAAAAAGAAACTCAAAGCAGTTGAGCTTCTAAGCAGTCTTGTGTGATAGGTGAGTCTTAACCTTAACTGCAGATGAGCAAACTGAGATTATAGGGAGAACTTTCTTCTTCATTGTTTGGATTCTTTTGGAACCTAGGAAAATGGAGTAGGACAGATTATGGAGCCTTGTGGGCAGATTCTTTTTGGCCTAGCCAGGAGCAAGCTCTGTCCAAAATACTCTGTGCAGCATAACTGAATTCAGAGGTTCTTTCATGTATTTACTGGATTATTCTCTGAAGAAAGAAGTACATACTGATGAGAGCAGAAAGATCCGTGTGGAAGAAAAGGCTGGTGGGAAGGGAAACAGGGACATGCTCATACTAATTTCCTCCTTTTGCTTTTACTGAAGAAAAGCAGGTCTTGACAAAGTGGGAGGCAGCGATTTTGTCCGTGCGATGGGTTTCCCCACCCGGTGTGAGACACGGTGCAACGCACACGTCTGGTGCCCTGCCCTGCTTCTGTGCCTTGTCTGCAGCTGCTTGTGTGAACACACTGTGGGGTTTTTTTCTGGGCAGAATATACAGCTTTTGTGTGTTGTAACTGCTTTTGTCACGGCCCGTCAATATTTTCAGTAACTACCTTGTCCATCTGTAGAATTGTTCTGGCCATCTTTCCAGGTGGTTGGAAGGTGCCCCCCATTGGTACCTGTGCCCAGGAGGCATTAGCAGGGCATGTCCCACCATGGCATCCTGCCTCCTGACTCAGCTGGGTTGCACTTCCCTTTCTAAAGCTCCAGTACTTTAGCAGAGGTACCATCAGTTGATATCTTGGAGCAGCAAATCCAGCTCATCTTGGCTGTGCAGTTGCTGACACACTGTTGGCAGCAGAAACCAGAACAGGCTGACCTTGTGGTGGGTTTTTTTAAAAAGGCTTAGTAACTGACTCCTTTCTGAACAAAGACTGACTCTTTTGCTTAACCACTCTGTTTGACCTTACAGGAAAGTGACCTCACAGGATTCACTTTAAGCCTCAGGGATGCAGATGAATCAAAATTGATTTTTTTTTTTAACTTTTGTCAATAGCCAAGTAGGAGATGGGGGAGGGGAGGCAGGTGCATGTATGGGCACATACATTCTCTGTTGAGTAGTCAGTTGGGATGCTTAAAAGGTAAATGAGAATTTTCAGTGTAATGGCTAATTCTTCCACGTGTGCACACTGTGAGAGCCAGGAATTTGTGGTATGATTTCCTGGAAGAATGCTGTGTCTTAAGAAATTTGATTAGGTGGGTTTATCATGGAGTACCCAGTGTGCAAAACCTTGTTTAATGTTTCCTGGCACTAACATAAAAAATGCTAAGAAGTGGACTATGTGTTGCTTAAAGATTTTCTAAGCTTTGCTTCAGAGGCAGTACCTTGTCTTCCTTAGAAATTGTGTTTTAATGAAACAATACAAGCACAATTACCTGGGGTGCAGACTGTATTTTCATGTTGTAAGGCTTTTTTAGTTTTTCCATGCTTGGAACAAATGGCAGCGATGGAATTAGTACTGCACATTTCAGAATGTTGTTGAAAACTTGGCTGAAATGTAAGATCCTTTCAGATTTGTAAGTGCCATGTTGCAACGTGTTTATAACTGCTGGGCCTGAAGAAAGCTTATGTCCATGTTCATCCCATTGCTGCTCCTCATGTTTAAGCACTCTGTGTGTAATTCCATTAACAAGGAAACAGCTTGACTGGTGCAGAGTAAAATGCAAATCTGAAGCTTCATTTCCATAGGAATTTTAACCTGCAGTGTTTAGCTTTTGCCTCTGGCAGGGCAAAAGCAAACTCTTAAATTGGCATTTTACCTTAATCTTGCAACAAAACCTGAATTCTTCACTGCAACAGTTCATCATTGTCATTCTTGATTGTATATTTAAGCCATGGGACTATTTCCCTCTTTATTTCCTGGGATTCAGAATTGAGAGCTGTACATCAAATTCCATCCAAAGTTATCATGAGTCTCAAACATACCTCTCAGCACCTGCTTTTCCCTCAAAAGCCCCTTCCTAAACACTTGGTGTTTTGACTCTGTGTTTTTCCTTGTGTCGTAGGTCTTTACATACTCTGCACCAGTTTTGCTGTCCAGCTCCATTGTACCATTCCCAGCTAGCTGTCCCTGCCACACACTCAGAGTACAGGTAAGAGTAGATATGGTCCACCCACTGCTTATTTTTGAAGAGAGATCTAATGTTACAATTTGACATAGGAGAAGGAATAGTAGTTTGAGTATTAAAAGCAAAAAAGAATAGTATTAGAAAAACATATCATACCCTTTTAACATCTCAAAGGGTAGTTCTATTCTCTTAGGCACTCTTGAATTGTACAAGAAAATGAGTCTCATGTGCTGTAAGTGGCACATCCCCCTAGACTTGGGCAGCTGGAAGCTGCTTGTAGGTTTAGTTCTCACATATCAAACATGTTGAAATGTTTATATAGTTTGTGTAGGATATTGGTGTTCTGAGCAACACTTTTCTGTAACCCCTAAATATTTCATGGCAGTAGGTGAGGTAAGGCAGGTACTGTGGCACTCTGAAGGTTAAAGGCATGGACCTGCAAAAGGCTCAGCATCACCTTTTGATTTCCAGGGAGGCAAGGGGGTATTAAACAGATGCAGACCCTCGATGCCAAGAAGAGTCTGCCCTGAATGTATAAAAAATACAGGTTTTCCATCTCATTGAAGCATCAAAGGACAGCTAATCTAAATAATTAGAAATATGAAAACTGTTAATAAATTGTGCATGTCATTCAAAATGTATTTAATTTTTAGTTTTGCTATTAATGATTAACTTAGTGATAATTGCCAGCTCATGAATAATATTAATATCAAAAACATTGGAAGCCTGATGATCCAATCACCTTGCACTTGTAATAAGGAAAGACAAAAACAAACAATGAATCCTAAATCTGTAAATGCATACACATATTTCTAATTTGAATCTTCCATCTCTTAGTTATCTCTAACCATGCATGTTTGGATTCATCCTGTTGTTTATATGTTTGGGGTTTTTTTCTCCCATCAGAGCTCTTAGTTTTATTTGGTGGCAGTGAATCCATAGTTGAGTTGTGAGACAGCTTTGTCTTCAGTGAGGAGCAGGGCCTGAACACTATTAGAACCCCCCACTTGGTTTTAATGAGGGTTTTCTTTTTCCTTAGTTTATAATGCTTTGATTTTAAGGACTTGTTAGAAGTCTTTCAATAGGGATTTTGATGGGAAAACCACTTGTATCTTGAATGTTTCACTATCTTGCTAGTGCTAGTATTTAAAACAATGTAGAGATTTGGATAGTGGCCCAACATGCTGTACACCTTCAGCTTCTGTTGAAGGATGGGGGTGTGGGAAGGAACTCATCACTGACCTTGTTTGCTCTCAAGGAAGTTTAGGTCTCATCCACCTGTGTGTGCAGAGCCATAGCTCAGCTAGAATCAGTGGAGCAGGTCCTGGTACAGTGGTGTTGCCCAGTCACCTCATGGTAACTAAGCAATCTGTGGGGCATCACTGGCTGCCAGGAAACTTCTCACTCTCACCCCCATTCCTGGCTAACTAGCCCAGGTCTACCAGCAGCACATGACCTTCATTTTTGTTATGAGGGATTAGAGATTGGAGCTCAGGGATTAGATGTGGCCTTGTTCTCCTCTTGCCTCTTGCCCTTGGCTCAACACACAAGTTAGCAGGGTGAAAGAGGAGCTTTTGCAAAAGATGCTCATGGGCCAGCAGGGTGGTCTGTGGTGGCAAAGGCAGCCAAACACAGGGCTGTGTGAGCAGGAGTGCCCAGCAGGATGAGGGGGGCACTTCCTTCCCTTCTGTCACCACATGTCAAACCTCCTCTGGAGTCTGTTGGGCTTTTTGAAAGGCATCAGGGTGCTGGGACAAGTCCAGCAAGGGGCCATCAAGGTGTCTGGGGGCCAGAGCACAGGAGAAGTGAGGAAAGGCTGGGAGAACAGGGGCTGCTCAGCCTGGAGAAGTCTTAGGGCTGGTGCTGTCTTCAGCTCCTTAATAGGAAAAGGTGGGAAAGGTGGTGCCAGCCTCTGCCAGGAGCAGATAGGACAAGAGGCAACAAAACCAGAATGCAGTAAGGAAAATTCCAAGTTGATACAAGGCAGGGGAGGGAGGGGAGTTTTACTGTGATCATGGTTAAAAACAGACCAGGAGAGGAGGTGATTATCTCCATCTTCAGGGACAGTTTATTCAACTGGACACAGCCCTGAGCAACCTGATATAGTTCACCCTGCCTTGAGCAGGTCACTGGACCATGGGTAGCTCCAGAACTCCCTTCTAACACAGTCCACCCTCTGACCCAGAAGCACTCTGTGCTTGGGAAGGAAAAAAGAGCTTCAAGAGTGTTCTGTAGAGTTTAGTTTTAAATGGTACTGTGATGTTAGATCCATCCTAGGCAGCATCCTACCCAGAAATGTGGTGGTGTGTTACAGCCAGGCTGTCTGCCTCATGTCAGGAGTTCATTTCTTTTACCCATCAGTTAAATTTCTGAAGCTGTTGTATCCAAACTGAACTTTGCAAATAGGTACCACTGAATCTGTAAGCTCTTAGGTACAAATTATGCACCTGTTTTTGTAGTGACCTGTACGTGGGAATCCTATTGCTGTGAATGAAAAGCTGGGACACCAGCAAGACTGGGCTTTAAAATTTCCACGTACATTTAATAGCATTAAATTTAGCTTTTAGTCTTCCCATTTATCAACTTATAAATAGAAATCCTTAGAAACTAAACTAACAGAAAGGGATGATTCACTCTGACTTCGTTTTTGAGGCTTTATTTAGAAAATACACAGAGGAATTAATTTTGTAGCCCAGAATTAAAAATTAAATTTGCTCTGAAGGAAGCAATTAATGAATGCACTACAGTGAAATCTGGAGCATCTCTGGATTGCTGTTAGCTAATTGCTGGATGTTTTATTCACTCCAGCAGTTTTATTTCTAGTCAAGACGATATTTGGCATCTGTTTTGAATTGTTAATAGGGAAATAATGCATTTTTAATAACTGCAGCTATTGCAGTATTCCCTTGCTTGCTCGTTTTACAATGTTCAAAATAGACAGAAATAATAGAAGTTATGTGGCATTCCTCTGTTAGAAGAAAAGTCTTAGGGAGCCTAATAGATAATGTACTTCCAGCTAGTTATTTGTCTGTGTTCCAGTTAGCCCATATGCCTCCTGTGTTTGCTCTTTTCAATTTATTTTTGTTTGGAAATTAAAAACAAAGCAAAATTACTGGAAAACCAGTCATGTCTGTAGCTTTGTTTCTTTGACTCCCCTTCCCTCCCTGCCTTTCAAAACAATGTGCTCCGATTCTGAGCTACAGATTCCATGAAGTGCTCTGCATTTGTTAGTGATCATTTACATACAGGTTTTATAGCTAGTGTGAAGGACACAGTAAAGGAGGTGGTGGTAGGTCCTGGAGAGGCTTCAGCTGCTGAGCCTGGTCCTTGGGAAGGCCTCCATGATCTCAGTGGCCTTGCAGCTACAGTGGGTGCAAAGCACAGCCCAGACACAGGATGGCATCCAGGGAGAGCAAATTAAATTGTATCTTCCTCTTGTTTGAGGAACAGTCTGTTCCCAGCATTTACCTGAATTCATCTGCAGAAACAACCTCCAGCCAGCAGCTCAGGGGTGGGTGCTGCCTCCCTTCCAGCCACAGGAAAGGGTGTCACCTGAGCCTCAGGTTACCCAGGTGCTTGTGCTACTCCTGCACGTACAGGCTTCATTGACACCCTGAGGACAGGTCACCTGCCCACCCTTGGGGAAGGTTTCCTACTCTGCTGAAATGAAGGGGGAGGGTTGGTTTGGTTTTGCTGTGTTTTTAGTAGCCTGTGGCCCTAATGCTGCTGGAGCTGGCAGCTCCTCAGCTTCTGTGGTGTTAAAGCAGAAATGGCTGCAGGAAGGGAGAATGTAGGAGAGGGCCCATGCTTGGGAATATAATGTCCCACTCATATCTGTGTCCTTTGTGTAGATGTGGATAGGCTGATAGATACAACTGTGGGCAGATTTGCTTACTGCTACTATTGAAGCATCTTTTCATCTGATGTGTTTATTCATAATTTTGATTTCCTTGTTCTGATTTGCATGAAATGTTGGCTGTCACTAATTTCTTTCTCCATCTGCTTTACCTTCCATCCTTCTAATATTAAATTAGATGCCCTTATCATGTCCAAAGACCATTTTCAAACTCTTGAAGCTAGAGATTTTTTCTTTTCTTTTTCTTTTTTCCCCAGTGATACCTGTGAAAACAAAAAGATAATGCAAAGGATGTTATAGTACCAAAGAAATCCCATCATTTTCTTGCAGTCTCTACCTGCTTAATGTTTAATCAGCACCTCTGGGAGGTAAAAAAACATTATTCTGAAAATACTGTTCTTATGTGAAATTTTAATGTGGAATCTTTGTTTCACCAGGTAATGTTGGCTTTCATGCAACAAACCACTGTATGGAAGATGATAGAAGGATTGATTGTGCTATTTCTTTTTGTCTGAGCCACTGGTAGGCATTGTAGCTGTTTTGTTACCATAACTGGTTAACACAGAGGCTTAAGGTGCAATGATGTCTGGCTGAGAGATGCTTCTATATGTGTTAGAGTGGTTTGGTTTTTCACAAGTTTTTTTTTGAGAGCACCCTGGGAACTCTTGCAAATTAGGCCCAGTCAAGGAAAACTGGGAACTTTTTGCTTGGATTCCTGGAGGTGAAAAATATCTGTCGAGTAATAAATTTGATTCTCAGTTTACTCTTTTGGCTGATGGGTACTCTGCTGTTTCTCAGGCTTAAGTACATAGCCAATATTTCAGTATGTCCTTCATACAAGTATCTATAAGACATCCCACTCTGTGCAGAGATCCTGAGGCCTGTGGCAGTTGCCCAGTCAATGGTCAGTCACAGGGGAAGCTGGAGCTGCAGGAGCTGCACTTCAGGAGCCTTTTACTATTCATAAGACTCCTTACTGCAGTTTTCTACCAAAAATAACATGGGATGGAAATCTTATTTCCAAAGCAATAGCAATTGCCTAGCTATATAACTTAGCACATTTAAGCACTGTTGCCTCTCTTTATCATGTGCAGAGATTTAAAAGCCTGACAATATTTTTCCCAGCTAAGCAATGAGGGGAAGCAGCACAGCTCAGACCAGCCAGCAC